TAATAATAATAATAGATAGATAGATAGATAGATGAATAGATAGATAGATAGATAGATAGCATCTAGCGCATGTTATCCCGGCTCAACAGAAGTTTTGTGCGCGCTACAATCTATTATTATTACCCCTGCAGACTTATGAACAATCAGAAACATTCACAGCTTTCCGGAAAAAAAATAAGACAGTGCAATCAGCCGATTAAGTGTTAAAACACTAACAAACTAACAAAACGCCCGGCATGGATATGACATACATTCATTTGCATTGCAAGTTCCGTAGCACTCTTAACTAAAAACTAAACTGACAAGATCTTTCGTTGTCTCTAGGCGCCTACCCTTACCCTCCCAGGGGGCTCTCGTGGTCTAGAGGTCAAGGTGTTCGACGCCTCTCATTCAATAGATCCCGGGTTCGAATCTGGACAGCGACGGAAAATTTTCTTTTCTAAAATGTTCTCTTTTCACATCCCGTCCTGCTCTCTAACAATGTTCTGTCGACTGCTTTCCTCTCCTCTTCCTGCCTCCACCCCTCACCTCCTTTACCCCCTCCCCTGGGCTCCTAACTCTTTCTGCAGCCTTTCTATTGCCACTCCATGGCTCCTTCTTACTACTGTCTTTCAGCCACACCCCTGATCTTACAGTAGGAAAGATCTACACTTAGCCTTCTCGGATAAGGGTGAAAAATCTCGGAGGTCCCGTTGCAAGTTGCGTACGTTAAAGATCCCTTGGTGGTCCAAAACCGATAAGAGTAGGCTTCGGCTGCCACCCGAGCAAAATCCAAAATTTCCTACCAACTGAAAAATGTTTAATGTGTCCCGCGCGCTCATATGACCTTATACAATTGCGAGCGTGTAAAACGCTTACTGAAAAAAAAAATTAATTCCCACCTGGGTGAAGCGAGTAAAATCGTGTAAAATGCTTTTTCCAATTACAACACAACGTCGCTTCTCCGGCAGGGTTCGAACCCACCACCGTTGGGCGACTACCCAAACAGCTTAGCTGCTAGACCACCAACGCCACCTCAGCATGATGAGCACTCACCGGTGACGTCAGAGAGTCCAGCGCGGCCATAGGCACGTACTCTGTGTGCATGATGGGGTCATCTAGCAGAACAGAGCTATCCTTGACCAACATAGACACAATCTCCGAGACCCAGTGGGTGCCTGGAAGTGAATGGAAAAGGCGTATCTTAGTGTGGGTTGTATTGTTGGACTAAGTGTATGGATGAAAAAGACGTATCTTAGTGTAGGTTGTATGTATTGTAAGACTATGTGTATAGATGAAAAAGACGTATCTTAGAATGGGTTGTATTGTAAGACTAAGTGTATAGATGAAAAAGACGTATCTTAGAATGGGTTGTATTGTAAGACTAAGTGTATAGATGAAAAAGACGTATATTAGTGTGGGTTGTAAGTGAACGGATGAAAAGGTGCATCTTGTGTCTCGTCCAGCTAGAAAAACATCATATAATTTATTTCACATAACTTTGGACTGCCTGCAGCTATTTTTGTCAAACGTTTACCAATATTCTTGGATTATTTGTCTTGATAACATATGAATAATTTTTTAATGATTCTAGCCTGAAGTTTTCTCCTTGTCTTTGTTAGAAAATAAATTAATGAATTTTCAACAATGTGATGACTTTCAGCGCGACTCTTACCCTGTCACCAAACTGTTGCTATGATTGTTTCTGTGTGTGTATGTGTGTATGAGTGTGTGGGGGGGGGGGGGGGGGCGGTTGGTTGGACTGTGCCACTGGTATAATTTGTCCAACAAAAAAACCCATTGTTTTTGTTCGTGAATAGCTTTTGATCCCATTTACGCTGAGCTGTCAGTATTTAAATAAAAAATCAAGGACAATTCTGATTTGTCTTTTCAAGGTAGATTTTTTTTCTCATCTTCATGGGATGGTGTAAAAGGGGTACAACTCCGCGACAAGGGTGACTTATTTTGCGTGCCCACCTGAGGTTAAAAATAAACATACATACCATACACTTCTATAACACATTTCGTTATAGTTGGGTCTTTCAATTTAAAAAAAAAAAATTAGGGGGGGGTATAGGGGGTGTATTGTTTTTAACCTTTTTTGGTTAAAAACAGCAAAACTTCCTTTTCAACACATCGTAATTGGAAATTTCCATAACCAAAAAAGAAAAAGCGCACAAACAGGGGGCCATATTGAAGAGAAAAAAGTCAGCTTCCTCTTATATCTTTAAAATAGAGGGTGTGACGACATGGATTATTGTAAGCTTTGGTACACCGTTAGTCATCACATTTTTTTACTCAAAAAATTAATTCTTTAACGATGACAAAGGGAAAACATTGCTTATTCAATGCTCAGAACAGAATTATTTATTAGCAACTGATTAAGACAAATTGATACAAGATGACTGGTAAAATTGTAAAACTAATTGATGCAGACAGTCAATAGTTATCTGCAAAGAAAAAGCCCCATCATGTTTGTGAGTTGGACGAGCTATCAAGAGAACACCGACACGATAACACTCATTTGTACCTATCTCTGTAGGAGACCCAAGTTCGACCCCTGAGCGGGGAGGTTTTTCTACTGCGATGGTGTATGTATCCCTCTCAGTCCGGATTGGCTGCTAAATTATCTAAACTGCTTTGATGGCGGTGTAAAAACACCTTCATTTAAACAATGACACAAAGAGACAACAGAGGGAAAGAAGAAAAAAAGGGATAACTGGATCTATGGGTGGCACACCCTCCACCAACTGCCCCCAGCGAGGACTTCACAGTTCACCCTCGACAGTAGTTGTTAACAACTGACCTGATTTGGGATAGCTCACCACCAACACGTCATCATTCCTGGCCTTGAAATTCTGAAGGTCAAGGATGTGATCTGGTTCCACGTTGGGGCTGAAATAGCAGCCGGCATCTTCTAAGAGGGACAAGCAACTTCCGCTGTCGTCCTGTATTTGCACGGGCTCCATAGCAGTTCCTCTTGATGCCTGGAACGCGCGGGAAAAAATGGTTTCAGAGACATAGCAAAAGCAAAGGCTCCATAGCTCGTAGTGGTGCCTGAAACGGGTGGGGAAAATAGTATTTTGATTTCGGGGACAGAGCAACAACACAACAACGGTAATATAATTTTAAAAGAAATAGTTATGTAAATAAACTGCTATTATTATTATTATTATTATTATTATTATTATTATTATTATTATTATTATTATTACTACTACTACTACTACTACTACTACTACTACTACTACTACTACTACTACTACTACTACTACTACTACTACTACTACTACTACTACTACTATTGTTATTTTTATTATTATTGTTGTTATTATTATTATTATTATTATTATTATTATTATTATTATTATGACTATTTTTATTATTATCATTATTTTATTGAAATCAGTATAATTATTATAATTATTGATATTATTATTATTAAGTACTTAATAACATTTTACAAACGCGTTGAGGAGAATGAAAACATCAAAACACATGACAAACGCGAAAAAAGCGCAGTGCATAGCAATGTCATGCTTTTGCTTTTGTAAAGTGTTTTACGGCGCTCGCAACTGCATAGGTCATATGAGCGCGCGGGACACACCTAATATTTTCAGTTGGTAGGAAATAATGAATTTTGCCCGGGTGGCGGCCGAAGCCTACTCTTATCGATTTTAGACCACCAAGGGATCTTTAACGTGCGCAACTTGCACACGGGCCCTCATTCATTTTTCGCCCTTGTCCGAGAAGGCTAGGTGTACATCTTTCCTACCAGAAGATCAGGGGTGTGGCAGAAAGACAGCAGTAAGGAGGAGCCAAGGAGTAGCAGTAGAAAGGCTGCAGAAAGAGTCAGGAGCCCAGAGGAGGGGGCAAAGGAGGTGATGGGGTGGGGGCAGAAAGTGGAATTGAAAGCAGACAACAGATCATTGCTAGGAAAGGAGGTGAAAGGAGACAATTTTATGAGAAGAAAATTTTTCGGTTGCTACCCGGATTCGAACCCGGGACCTTTGAATGAGAGGCCAACACCTTAACCTCTAGGCCACGAGAGCCCCTAGCAATGTCATTTTGTATAACCACACCAATACGCAGGAAAACGCTCTGTGATTTAATGTTCCTTTCTGTACAGAAAGAAAAGCATTCTTTTAATTAAAGCCGTGCAGGTCGACGTCTGAGGAATAACGGCTTATAAAGTGTTGATGGTTTACGCCCCATTGACATAATTTAGATCATATAGAAGGAGAGCTTCGAACTTGCCTATTGGGTGCCAACAAGAACTGAACACTATACAACATTCCAACAGATATAAGGAGATGTTCGATTAAGAGGCAAATATGAGAAAAAAAATTGAAAATAAAATCAAACACCACACACAGAAATCGAACTCAAGTTTTCTGGGTGCCATGACAAACGCTCTATCACAGATGCCGGTGAGTGTATCAGATGGATTTTTCACCGCTGCAAGCAAAAGACGACGTTCGAATCTCGTACGACGATTTTGGTTGTTTGTTTGTTTGATTATTTTATTTATTCTTTTAGAAATTAATCTTCAATCCGATTGGTCCTGCAACTATGGTCGAATCAGCTCATCTCCTAAACCATCAAAGCTATGCTGATTGGGGCGCAAAACATTCACGACTCTAACCAAGCCGAGCGGTCTGTCTGCCTTTCGGAAATCCGCTCTCCACCATTGTTAAAGCCATTATGCGTAGTTTCTAGTTCTGGAAAGTACTTATGATGATCTGAGAGAGCAGCGAAGAATTTAATAATATTATGTTCCAGTAGGCTTATCTCTCGAGTACGTGACTGATGCGTCAATATAGGTGAGGCAGCGTGGTGGAATCAGGCGCTCGTCAATTTTGGGGCATGTAGAGTTATTGGTATCATCTTAAAGCTTGTTCACTTGTCTTTATTTGGATGGAAAAAAATATCCATTTATCTGGAATACAAGTCGATATATTTGAAAAAGAAGAAAGTGAGGGTCACCTGTTTTCAGAGGTAAAAATTAGTGAGAAAATGGCCGTCAAAGATCAGTTATTTCCTTTGCTTAAGAGTCCGTGGTAACTGAAAATTTACATTTTTTGGGGGGCCTTTAATCAACGTTTTTCAGAAAAATTCACACAGAAATGAGTTATTTAATGGGCATGAAAGGTGTTGAGCCAAAAAATAAAAACTTGATAAAAATTCACAAACCAGCGGGAAAATGCAAGTTTCTTCACTTTGATTATTTAGACGAGAGTCTAATTCCACGACTCTGCCTCACATAATAGACGCGATCAATTATTGTATTAGTGAAGAGGAACCAATTGTATTCCAAACTCCTACCTTAAGGGATCACGACAATATAGTTGTGATTTAGATAAAAGTAAACTTGAACCTCCTTTTAGAAACATGCTAGTCTTGACCTACTACGCACATCAGGGGTCTCCACTCTCAGCGGGGCCATGTTTGAGTCGACGTATAATGGCTTTCGCGAAGACGCTATTCAACAACCTTAAGAGTGCCTTTTTTTTTTATTCTTCTTTTTTTGTATTGTTTTATCTTATTTCGTTATATAATTTGTTTTTCTGTTTTTCCATTTTTTTTTTAAATTTCAAAATTCTTTTTTTAAAT